TTCCTCTGCTTTGTATCTCGGTGACTGCCTGGAACTCATGGAGGCGATTGGCCAGAGAAAGAAAGCGTCGATTGCATCTGGACGGATCCACCATATCTGCTGTCAAATGACGGAGTCACCTGCGTGGCCGGACGGATGGTCAAGGTCAACAAGGGCGGAATGGGGCGAAGTCTGGATGTTGGCGTCGACCTGATTTCAGAAATTCATATCGGACGCTGGTCGGTGTTGTCATCGTATCCTAAAGCCAAGCGGATCGATCTGGGTGAGCGGCACGCTGCACGTTTACCTCAGCGTTGGCCTCGCGATGCAACAGATCGGCTACCGGATACTGAACGACATTGTTTGGGAAAAACCTGCACCGGCTCCGAACCTTGGCTGCCGTTGCTTTACCCATTCCACAGAGATTCTGCTCTGGGCAACGAAGGCTACGAAGGGCAGCCGGGAACGGCATATCTTTAACTACGAAACCATGAAGGCGGAGAACGGCGGCAAGCAGATGAAGAATGTCTGGCGTATCCCGCCACCCGGCAAGGAAGAGAAGCGGCTCGGTAAGCACCCAACGCAAAAGCCGCTGGCGCTCATTGCTCGATGTCTGCGTGCGGCCACCAATGAGGAGGACTTGGTCGTGGATCCGTTCTCGGGATCCGGATCCACTGGGATCGCTGCGTTGACGTTGGGGCGCCGTTTCGTCGGCTTTGAACAAGACGAGGGCTACGCTATGCTCGCCGCGCGGAAGCTGAATAGAGTTATTAGGTCCCAGATTCCCGTCGTAGACGGACCGGCCCAAGGGTCGCCTAGCCTCTTTGATCACGCGTAGCATGGAACGAACCGAGGCAATCCACAGTCTTCGATCACTCGTCGGGCAAGATCTCGTTTCGGTCGCCCACCATTTCGGTGTGACGGTGTGGAAGGGTGACCGAATCAACAAGGGCTGGGCGGGCCACGCTGTTGAACGCTATTTGGGTTTGGCGCTGAACTCGTCTCAGTCTCCGAATTTTGGATCATGGGAGCTAAAGGTCGTACCGCTCGTGCGGCGTCTGGACGGTACTACTACAGTCAAGGAGACGATGGCGATTACGATGATCGACCCAGTCGAAGTCGCCAACAAGACGTTTCGGAATAGCCATCTGTTCATGAAGCTGCAACGTATGATCGTCGTGGCCAGAATGTTCGAAAGCAAGCAAGAGCTTCGATCTCTCTGTTACCAAGTTACCGAGTTTGACCTGGACGATCAGTTTGCTGTTCGGACAGATCGAGGCCGACTACAACGGTGTGCGGGAGGTAATTCGCACCAGCGGATTCGACGCCCTAAGTGGGTCGATGGGCGTGCTTGTGCAGCCCCGTACGAAGGGACCTGGACACGGAAGCACATCGAGAGCCTTCTATGCCCGCACGTGGCTCGTCAAGAGGATACTCGGATTCGGAGAATAGCTGGGGGAGCGGTCCGCGCCTGGCGGCCGCACGGCCGTTACGGCTGCCGCAGGACCAGGACCTCGTCGAGCGGTTTCCGGCACAGGTCGGGCACCTGCGCGCCGGCGGCGGGATAGCCTACCGGCATCAGGAGACAGGCCGTCTCGTTGGCGGGCCGCTCCAGGATCTCGCGGAGGAAGCCCATCGGGCTGGGTGTGTGCGTCAGCGCCACCAGCCCCGCCTGGTGCACGGCGGTGAGGAACAGGCCGGCAGCGATGCCGACCGACTCGGACACGTAGTAGTGGCGGACATGCTCGCCCGCCGGTCCCACGCCGTAGTTCTGCCGGAAGAGCACCACCAGCCAGGGGGCGATCTCGAGAAACGGCTTGTTCTCGTCGGTGCCCAGCGGCTCGAGCGCGCGGAGCCATTCGTCGGGCATGCGTCCCTCGTAGTTCTCCCGTTCCTCGCGCTCCGCGGCAATGCGTATCCGGCGCTTGACGTCCGGATCCGAGACCGCGACGAACGTCCACGGCTGCCGGTGCGCCCCGGACGGCGCGGTCGAGGCGGCGCGCACCAGGTCCTCGATCACGCCGGCCGGCACCGGGTCGGGACTGAAATCCCGCACCGTGCGGCGCCGGTTCATGACCTCGTAGAAGCGGCGCGCCCGCGCGGCGACGTCCGCGGGCGGCGGCTTCTCGTACCGTAGAGTGATGAATCGCGGTTTTGCCACAGGCTGCCGGTTGCGCTAACCGCCGTCGTGCGCGATCATCGTTCATCGAAACTCGGCGGGCAACGACGGAGGGGGAAACGCGATGCGGAGTCGAATACTCACGGCGTTGGCGGCGGCGTTGCTCGTCGCCGGTTGGGGAACGGTGGCAGCCGGCCAGGACGGCGCCGGCGGCTGGACGCCGCCCCGCACGCCCGACGGGCAGCCGGACATCCAGGGCATCTGGACCAACTACGACGGCACCCCGTTCGAGGCGCCCAGCCAGGCGGACATCGAGCGCCTGGCGCCGCTTGCCCACTGGTTTCCAGGCACGAACGACCCGGACCGCTTGCGCAGCGCCGCCGCCCGGCCCAGGGACATCGACATCAGCGACCGGATCGGGTTCGCGGACGGCCCGCACGCCGCGCTCCGCAACGAGAGTCGGCGTTCGATGGTGGTCGACCCGCCGAACGGCCGCGTGCCGCTGCGCCCCGAGGCCGAGGCGACGCGCGACTACAACCTGGTCAACCTGACCGATTCCTGGCTGAACCACACGCCGTGGGAACGCTGCATCACGCGCGGCGTGCCGGGCGGCATCTTTCCGGGCGGCTACGGCGCCGGCTACCAGATCATCCAGACGCCCGGGTACGTGGCGATCTTCTACGAGATGATCCACGAGGCGCGCATCATCCCGCTGGGGGACCGGCCGCACCTGCCGGGGTCGATCCGCCAGTGGAACGGCGACCCGCGCGGGCGCTGGGAGGGCAACACCCTGGTCGTCGAGACGACCAACTACAACGACAAGGGGACGATCGGCACGAACATCGCCACCCGCGCCATACGGGGCATCCCGCAGAGCGAGGCGCTGCACGTCGTCGAGCGCTTCACGGTCGCCGGCCCGGACACGATCGAATACGAGGTGACGATCGACGACGCCGGCGCCTTCACCGCCCCGTGGAAGGTGGCGATGCCGCTGAACCGCGACGTGGCCTATCAGATATTCGAATACGCCTGCCACGAAGGGAACTACGGCCTGGTGAACAGCCTCAGCGCGGGCCGCGCCGAGGACGCGGACGCCAGGTAGGCCGGACCCACCCGGACTGCTACCCGGCTCCTATTTTTTCGGCGACGCCGGCTGCCACGCCGGCGTGCCCTCCTCCCAGCGGTTGTCGGTCAGCGCCCGCTGCTCCGAGCCGTCGGCGTTCATGATGAACAGCTCGCCGTACGGCTGCGGAATGTCGGCCATCGGCGCCTCGTCCTTGAAGCCATAGCGCGAGCTGCTGAACAGGATGTGGGCGCCGTCCGCGGACCAGGTCGGGTGGGAGTCGTTGCCCGGAGAGGTGGTAAGCCGGGCCACGCCGTTGCCGTCGGGCCGCATGGTGTAGATGTCGAAGTCGTCGTCCGCCAGCCGGCTGAAGACAATGCGGTCGCCCCGCGGCGACCAGACGGGGAAATTGTCGTAGCCGGTCGTCAGCGTGCGCACCTTGCCGTCCGCCAGCGTGACGACGCGCAGGCCGCCCGCCTTGTCGCTCCAGAAGCCGTACACCACCTCCGTGCCGTCGGGCGAGAAGCTCGGGAAACCGGCGTTGCCCTCGCCGGTGGTGAGCACCCGCCCGCCGGACCCGTCCGCGCGCACCATCATCAGGTGCGCCGGGCGCGTCCGCGCCAGGAAGTAGTTGCCGACGCCGAACACGATCCACTCGCCGTCGAACGACCACTGCGGCGCGAGCACCGAGCCTTCCGCGCGGAAGATGCGGCGCGGATCCGTCCCGTCCGTATTCCAGACCGCCAGCGCGGCGCGGTCGTCCGGGCGCGCCCGCGGCCGGTCCGCTCGCTCACGACGAGCCGCCGCCCGTCGGGTGACACGGCGGGAAAGCCGCTCGCATACACGAGCTCGTAGTCCGGGTCGCTGCCCGCCAGCACCTCGCCCGGCGCACGCGGCGCCGCGGTCGTCGCAATCGGCCCCTGCTGATACACCACCCGGCGGCCGTCGGGCGACCAGGACGGGTTCCCGATGTCCCCTTCGCTGCCCTTCTCGCCGGAGCTGAACATCAGCGCGGCGTGGAGCCCCGATTTCTGGAGATAGCCAACGCGTCCGGATCCCAGGAGCTGCGGCGAGAGCTTCAGGCCGCGGCCGGCCGCATGCTCGGTGCGGAAGCCGGTGGCGACGTCGACGGAAACGATGCGCGAGTGCACCCCGGGCTGCTCGGGCACCCAGCGCGCCCGGAACGTATCGCCCACGTCGAGCTCGTAGAACACGATGTTCCGGCCGTCCGCCGACCATTTGGGCGAGCCGCCGAGCCGCCCCTGTTGCGAGATCCTGCGCAGCCCGCCGCCGTCCGCGCCCACGACGTACACGCCCGCCGCGTGGACGTGCTCCCAGCGCCCCTTCGCCTTCGGGAAACCGGCGCCGCGGTCGGAGGAGAACGCCAGCATTTCACCGTCGGGCGACCAGCTCGGCCGGAAGTCGCCGCCGGGCGTGTCGGTCAGGTTGCGCGCCTTGCCGCTCGCCAGATCGAGGATGTGAATGTCCGTTGAGCCGCTTTCGCGCGTGGAGACGAACGCCAACCGGGTGCCGTCGGGCGACAACGCCGCCTGATCGTCGAACGCGGGATGGTCGGTCAGCCGCTCCAGGCCGAGCCCGTCGGTGCGCACGCGGAAGATGTCGGCCGACCCGAAGCGCTCGGACGTGAACACCACCCACTCGCCGTCGTGGGAGAACGAGGCGTTGTAGTCGCGGTCGGAACCGGCCAGCAGCTTGCGCGGATCCGAGCCGTCCGCGTCGGCTATGTAGAGCACCGAGCGGGTCGGACTCCACTGGTCCACGAAGATGCGGTTTTTCTCCGCCGCCGCGGCGCGGCCGCGAAGACCAGGAGCAGCAGCAGCGCCGGCGATACGCGCGCGCAGCAGCAGTCATTGTCGCGTCCTCCCTTGCGCCGTTCAGTGTAATCGGTTTCCCGTGCCGATCGCGGTGGTCTCTGATATCCTTCGGGCTACGAGTCCGCGGCGGGCGTGTGCGCGTGCGCCGACCCCGCACCCCGAGGAGGTATCACGTCATGACCTGGAACCGTGTCGCACTTGCTTTCCTGACGGCAGTGACGCTCATCGTGGCGCCCGCGCTGGCCCACGCGGCCGAATACCACCATGTGCACATCACCGCGTCGAGCCCGGCGAAGGGTGTCGAGTGGTACTCCGAATACCTGGAGTGCGCGCCGCTGGCCGACCGCGACGACGCCGCGAACTGCGACGGTGTGGAGGTCGTCTTCGTGCCGCAGGCGACGACCGGCGGCAGCCAGGGCACCGGCATCAACCACATAGGCTTCTCGTTTCCCGATCTGACCGCCAAGATGGCCGAGTTCGAAGCGGTCGGTGTCCGCGGCTCGGGCGTCAGGCTGCAGCGGTTCGAAGACGGCTCGATGGTGCGCGACATCCCCGGGCTGTTCAAGATCGCCTTCATCTTCGACCCCTGGGGCACGCGTATCGAGCTCGTGGAAGACCAGGAATACCTCGGCTTCCACCACATTCACCTCAGCGCCACCAACCCGGAAGAAACGCTCGCCTGGTACCGCGACGTCATGGGCGGCGAACCGGACTCGATGCGCGGCATGCTTGACGGCCTGCTGTTCGACGACGTCTGGCTGCTGTTTTCCGCGCACCCGGAAGGCGCGACGCCGGCCACCACCCAGGGACGCGCCATCGACCATATCGGCTTCATGGTGGACGACCTCGACGCGTCGGCCGCCGACATCCGCCAGCGCGGCATCCGCTTCCATCAGGAGCCGACGGTGCCCGCGAACGGACGTACCTCCGCAAAGCAGGCGTTCCTCGCGGGACCGGACAACGTGCTCGTCGAGGTGGTCGAGGCCGGCTTTGCCGGTGTCGAGGTCGACCTGACGCCGGTGGTCGCAATCGACCAGGGTCCGTTCGACGCGCCGCTGACTTCCTGGGGCGAGCCGGACCTGCAGGGCGTCTGGACCAGCAACTCGTCGCACGGCATCCCCCTGGAGCGCCCGGAGGACGTGGACTCCCAGGAGCTGACGGCCGAGGAGGCGGTGGCACGCCGCGAGGGCGGCACGCTCGGCAGCATCTGGGGCTACGACCGGGAGTGGCGCGACACGACGTTGGGGTACGGCAACGCCGCCGTTTCCACGCAGGTCGCCATGGTTATCGATCCGCCCGACGGCCGCATCCCGCCGCTGACGCCCGAGGGCGAGGAGCTGGCGGCGAGGGCGCAGGCCGAGAGCCGGGCGTACACGCGCGGCCCGTCCGCGGGCCCGGAGGACCTGACCCCGTACGTGCGCTGCATCACGCGCGGCCTGCCGTCGATGATGATGCCGTCGGTCTACAACAACGGCCTGCAGATCGTGCAGGGCCCCGGCTACGTCGCCATCACGAAGGAAATGATCCACGAGACGCGCATCATTCCGACCGCGCCGCGTCCGGCCGCCGGCCCGGGGCTCGCGCTGTGGCTCGGTGTGCCGCAAGGCCGCTGGGAGGACGACACGCTGGTCATCACGACCACCAACTTCAACAGCCGGGCGTCATACCGGGGATCCACCGGGGACCTGACTTTGATCGAGCGCTACCGCCTCATCGGCCCGGGCATGCTCGAGTACCAGTTCACCATCGACGACCCGCAGGTATGGACCCGGCCGTGGACGGCGATGTTCCGGTTCGAGAAGGATGACGAGCAGTACGAGCTGGTCGAGTACGCCTGCCACGAAGGCAACTACGGCATGACGAACATCCTGAGCGGCTCGCGCGCCCAGGACGCGGCTGCCGCGGAAGCCGGAAGATAGCACCGGACCGCGCCGCACGCCTGGCGTAACGTTCACCGTTTCCAACCGGCCGTGTCCGGTTCGACCGCAGGGTCGCGGCCGGACGCGGCAGCGGGCGCACGTCTCCGCTGAGGGGAGTCGCCGTTACCAGGCGACGCTGCCCCTCGACATCTGCCCGTGGACAACACCAACCGCCGCTACATCGTCACCCTCGCGGCCGTGGCCGCCGGCATTTCTCGTCGTCGGCAGCCTGCTGCGGCCGGGCCAGCAGGCGCTCGACGATCCCCTGCCCGGACCGTCGCAGGCGGAGCTCGGCCGTCTGGCCAGCCTGTCGCAACGGCGGTCGGTCGACAGCATGGCGGAATACTTCGCCACGGTTGCCGGCAGCCTCGAAGCGCACGTCGTGAGCCTGCCGAGCCTCGACCGGAGCGGCATCGTCTGGGAGCCGGACCTCGTCCTGACGAGCCGTACCGAGCCCCGCTTCCCGGATGCCGCGACCGTCACTACGCCCGCCGGCGACGTGGGCGTCGCGGTGGCGGCAGCCGGTCTGGACCTGCCGGTTGCCGCGCTGCGCATCTCGCCGGTCGCCGGGCTGACGCCGCCCCGCCGCGGCGTGACGCGGCAGCGGTCGCGCGGCGAGTGGACCATCGCGCTGTGGTGGCGCGACCGGCAGGCCAGCTTCACGCCGGCGCACTACTTCGGGACGGCGCCCGTGCGCTGCGGGGCGCGGACGGTCGACGAGGTCCTTACAAACGTCGCCTGGACCCGCGAGATGACGGGCGGCGGGCTGTTCGACCTCGACAGGAATCTGATCGCCGTCATCACGCCGTGCGAGGAGCGCTTCCCCGCGGTTACGGTTGACGGCGTCGCGGAGCTGCTGCGGGACGCCCAATCGCTGGAGGGGCGGCTGCTGCGACGCTATGGGATACGCATCGAACCACTCACCACGGCCGAACAGGAATACTTCGCACGCAGCGCCGGGTTGCTCGTACGGGAGGTGTGGACCGGATACCGGGCGGACGAAGCAGGCATCGAGCCGGGCGACCTGCTGGTGGCCATCAATGCACTGCCGGTCACCGACCTGGATCGGCTGGAACTGCTCGCCGACGAAACGTGGGACGGCGCGTTGATGTTGACCGTGGACCGCCTGGGCGAATTCGTCAACGTCCCGCTGTTCACGGCCGCCGAGGTGGAAGAATCGGGGATCGACGGCACCGGTCTGGTGTGGAACCCGCCGCCGGCCGGACTGACCGTGGAGACCGTCGCCGCCGACAGCCGCGCGGCCGATGCGGGCATCCGCACGGGCGACCGCCTGCTGCGCATAGACGGCATAGAGATCACCGCTGCAGAGGACGTGCGCAACGTGCTGGCGCCCGAGCGCGAAACGGCGGCCTTCCTGGAACTGGAACGCGACGGGCGCCGGTTCGGCCTGCTGCTCCGCTAGTTCTCGGAACGCATCTGGCGATGGACGAGCTCACGTCTCTCGGCCTGATCCTGCTGCTGGCGCTGCTGGCCGGACACCTCGTGAAGGTTGTCCGCATTCCCTGAGGTCACCGGCTACATCCTGGCCGGCGTCGCGCTCGGTCCGTCCCTCCTCGGCTGGGTCTCGGCCGAGAACCTGCAAGCGCTCCAGGTACTGAGCGAGGTAGCCCTCGGCCTCATCCTCTTTTCCATCGGCTCGGTCTTCGAATTCTCCCTGTTTCGGCGCCTGGGCCGGCAGTTCCTGAATCTGACGCTCGTGGAGTCGGCCCTGGCGGCGGTGCTGGTCACCACCGGCGTCCTGTTGTTGGGACAACCCTGGCAGGTCGCATTGCTGCTCGGCGTCATCGCCATCGCCACCGCCCCCGCCTCGACGCTGATGGTGATCCGGGAGTGCAACAGCTCGGGACCGCTCACCGACAACCTGCTCGGCATCATCGCCGTCAACAACCTGTTCTGCATCACCGCCTACGCCGTGGCGGCCGCGGTCATCGACCTGGCCTCGGGGATCGGCGGGCGGTCGATCTTCGATGCGCTCTACCTGGCGGCGTATCCCCTGGTCTGGCAGCTCTTCGGATCCGCCGCGTGGGGCTACCTGGTGGGGATGCTGCTGGCCGGCTGGTCGACCCAGGTGCGGGAGACCGGCGAGATGCTGATCCTGCTGGCCGGCTCCATCCTGCTCTGCGTCGGCGTGGCCCGCCTGCTCGACCTGTCGCCGCTGGTCGCCAGTCTGGCCGTCGGCGCGACCATGGTGAACCTGTCGCGCCGCAGCCACCGCCTGTTCGACACGCTGTCCGGCACGGACCCGCCGTTCTACGCCATCTTCTTCGTGCTGGCCGGCGCCGACCTGGATCTGGCGCTGGTGCCCGCGATGGGCGTCGTGGGCCTCGTCTACGTCGGCGGCCGCTCGCTCGGCAAGTTTGCCGGCGCGGTAGCCGGGGCGCGCTGGCTGCAGCTCGAGCCGACCGTCCAGCGTTTTCTCGGCTTCGGGCTGCTGGCGCAGGCGGGGCTGGCGGTCGGACTGACGCTGCAGATTGAGGGACGCTACGAGGCGTACGCCCCGAGCGTCTCGACGGTGGTGCTTGCATCGGTCGCGATCTTCGAGATGTTCGGGCCGATCAGCACGCGTTTCGCACTGATGCGCGCGGGCGAGGCGGAAACCGCGCACCGGCACCCGGCGCCCGCCTGACCAGCCGCCGGCGTTGACGCGCACCCGATTCGCGCCGCGGCCGGCGGATATATACTGGGTTTCTCTCGACGATAGATAGTCGCGGCGTTTTCGGAAGGGGGCCTCCGTGTCGATCAGGAACGTCATCCTCGCGTCCGTGCTTCTCGCCTTCCCCGCGGTTTCGGCCGCGCAATCCCCGGCGCCGGCCGACGGCATCCCGCGCACCCCGTGGGGCGCGCCGGACCTGCAGGGCGTCTACGACTTCGGCACCGCGATACCGCTGCAGCGGCCGGTCGATTTCGGCGATCGGGCGGTGTTGACGGATGAGGAGATCGCGGTACTGGAGCAACAGGCCGCCGAACTGTTCAACGACGAAGTCAACAGGGACAGCCTGACGCCGCCCAACTACAACCACTTCTGGTTCGACTTCGGCACGACCGTGGCGGACACCCGCCAGTCGTCGCTCATCGTGGATCCGCCGGACG